TTTTAGCCAGGCCCACTGTCATTGTGTCCCCAGGTCTTCAGTGCTTCTCCCACTTTAGCCTTTGCTCATACTGTTCTGCCCTCTGCCTGAATGTTCGCTCTTGTCACCTATTCCACACACCAACGCCCAGCCTGGAGGCCTTACCTGACCACCCAGGGACCCCTTGGGCCTGGTTCTGGCCTCCCTCGTTCCTTGTCTGAGCCACTCACTGGGAAGCCCACAGCAGAGCTACTGTGATTTATGCCACCTGTCAGATATGTGGTTTTAACTGCCTTGTTTTCAGTTTCCCCATCTGTAAAATGTGGAGGTTGAAACATGATTTCTAAGCACTGTAATTCAGTGCATTTCTGAGTCCATATTATACGGAAGTGATGCTGGTAACTCAGAGAAGGGGAGAAAGGAATGTTTGTTGAATCATTCACCACTATGCCTTCTCTTCTGTCTTCTCTTATATTCTCTAAGCTGACATAGATTCATTCTGTTGAACTGGTGAAAGGAAACTACCCCTCATTAGACGTTGCTCTGAATCACCAGGGTAATGCCCACAGAGTCTGCAGGAAGCCTGGGAGCTTGTGCAGAGGGAGCAGCCCTGCACCCAAACATGCCCTGCCCCCTCTAGACCCACTGGGCCCAGAGCTCATGCCTCCCTGCTTCCAGGGCAAACAGTGTGGGTGGCTGACTACATGCTTGGCTTCCCAGAGATAAACCTAGGCAGAGATCAGGGTGCTCCTGCTTCTAGTTCTGCATTGAATAAACCTCAGACTGGCTCTGGCAGCAGCGAGAAGCATGCCTCCTGATGTTTGGGTGATAAATGGATGGGCTGCCTAGTTAAACATTGACACATTAGCCTCAGGAGACACACTGATTTAGAGGAACAGGAGAGGGCAAGGCCTGTGGGCACTCCTTGCACCAAAAAGGCTGAGATGGATGAAAGATAAGGAAGATAAGGAGAAAAGGACCAGGATGGAGGGGAGAAAACATAACAGGTCTTGTCTGTCTCTTATTTCAGATCTGTGGGCCATGTAGAGGGAGCTAGGAAGTCAAACATCAAAAAGCTTAAGGCAATGATGGTGAAAGGGCAGAGGTGGAAGGAATCAGATGTGGGTTTGAGGAAGCTTTATGAAGAATGCTTACTTTAAATAAACCCACTCTATGAACATCTATGTGAACCACATAGAAGCAGGAGTAATTTTCAACTCTCTTCCCAGTGTCCAGATTTATTATTAATCAATACCCGGTGTGATACTTCCCATGTCCCAGCCTTTCTTTAGACCATTGAATGAGGTTAAAACCTAGACTCCAGAATCTTTAGTTTCTTTATACCTCATAATCTTTTATTCTGAAATTGCTGTTGCTCCCCTTGATCAACACACCCTCACCCTCTCTGAGTGCACACTCAGTAAGTGTGATTTGTGCAGAGCTTTCTGAAGCTCCTCTGTACATTGTAGAACTGCTACTGCCCCAGCACAGAGCCTGCACTTCCCATGACCAAGAACAGCAACACTAGGGTCTTTTCTATCTTCCTGAAGCAGAGTCCCTTGTCACAGGTGACAGGTGTGAGGCTGGGATGTGGTTCAGGGCCTCAGAGCCACTAAAATAGTTTTAAGCTAACAATGAAAATAACCCTGGGCCACCAGTTCAGAGAAGACACAGCCATAACACTGGGCAAGCAGTAGTTGTCTCACCACAACTTCCAAAGGCCCGAAGCTGTCAGATGTATCAAGCCCAGAAAACTGGAAAGAGAAGGGCGATATTCAATCACATGGGATGCTCCAGGAGGCATGCTGAAACACTGCCCCCCCCCAAAAAAAAAATCATGCCATTTGGGAAATAAATGATGCTGCCAGGTAGGGATGACTAAACTCTGAAACAGAGGAGAGAGATGATTGTAGGAGGGGAGGAAGCCTGCTGAAGGTGAGGATGAGAGAATAAAGCCAGCAACAAAATCTATAGCTACCATTTACTGAATGAATACCTGTTATGTGCATGGTCCTAAGCACCTCAGTGGCCCTGTCTCATGTCATGCTCCTATTGGCCCTAGTAGGTGATTTTACCATCTACAGTCACACAACCAGTTAGTAGTAGATCCAGAATTTAAACCAGTTTAGTGTGATCCTAAAATCCATGCTCCCCCTCTTTATACCACAGTCTCAGCAAAGTAGGGATCACAGAGCCATAGCTCCTCCTATATCCAGGCCTCCTGTCTCCCTCCCACCTCCTCCCCCAACACTGCCACTGAAGTCCCACCCTGCCACCACCAGCCTCAGCACCCCCTGTCCCCCTACTTTAGGAGGGAAAGAGCTGGGCTGGAACCTTTCTAAGAACTATCTGGGTAGTGTTTAAAATTCACTGTGGGGGTTTAAAATCCACTGTGGGGGAGCATCTCTGGCTTCAGATGAAAGGACTTTGAGGTAAAAAGATCTAAAAGCCTTTTTTTTCTAACAAATGCTAATCATGTCTCAAATGCATTGAGATGTAAAAGTTGAACCAAGACCACTCGCTAATAAAATATTTGGTGCCTAAAGGAAGGGAATCAGAAAGATGCCCCAGAGCTCTGTAATGTGGAATAAAGATATCAGTTTCCCTTATTCCTGATTCACCTGGCTTAATATTTTAGATGTATTCACTCTATTGAGCCAGGATGCATGGGTCATGAAAGGGAAAATTTATATCTGCTAATGATCCCCATCAGCAATGGGCAATCTATGCTCTCTGTTCTGCCAGGAAAGCCTGGGAGAAACAAAGAAAAAGAAGAAGGATCTGGTTTTTAAAGTATAGACTAAGGAATTATTTGGAAATCTAGACCCTAGTCTGAGACCTGCCCTCCTGGACAAAGAAGCACTACAGACTGGCTAGCCGATTCATAAACAGTCTTTGCCGGTATTTCTGATTTCATTTGGAAGATCCTGAGAAAGTTAAACCTTCCTTTCAGTGTACTAGAATGGAACCTCCATGACAGCTAGGATTTCTCTGTGTTCCCTGCTGAATCCCCATTGCCTAGGAAAGTGTATAAGAGACACTTACTGAACAAAAATTGACTGACCAAGTTAATAAAAGATGATAATTTCAGATACCTGCTCCCCCAAGCCCCATTCTGAAGGAATCTGTGTTCATAGATTCTGCTGATTTCAAAAGCCCTCTTCTGTGTGGTAAGAAGCTACCCCCTGTCTCTAGGGTAGAGATTCTCTTCAAGAGTGGTTATTAGACCATTCGGCCAACACCTGTGACTTGTGAGACCAGTCACAGCAAATAAACTGAACCAATCTGACCCTCTACCTTGGAAATCCAAACCAAGAGACACTGATCAAAGCTGCCACTGGTGTGCACACCAAAGAGACTACAAGCTACCTGAGGGCAGAGACTGCATCTGTCTTGTTTTTTGCATTGTTCCCAAAGCATGATATCCTGAATCATGCCTGGAATAGCGTAAATGCTCCATAAAAGCTTCCTGAGTGAATGAACAAAGAGTAAATAGTACCTGGATGGCCATCATGGGGCAGGTACATGATGAATAAGCCAAACTAGCAGAGAAAGATCATGAATCCAATACTGAAAGAGCATTAAAGAAGCTCTGGGATAAAGAGAGAGGGCCACTGGCTCCCCTTTCCTACACTCTCAGGATGCCCTGCCTTTTGTGCTTGGGCCAGGGCAAGAGTTTCTTCTCATGCAACACTAATGGCCCAGATCAGAGCACTGCTGGATCCATACACAGAAGACCAGATGTCTGATATACAACCTTGAGCAAGGCCTTGTTTTATTTGTTTTGCCTGTGTGGCCATTGAGTGTTGTTAAAGGTTGAATTGGGCTAGCAAGGGAGGACATGGGGATTCTAAGTCTCAAGGAATAGATGTTATCATCTCTCTGGGCTAAGGAGCTCCTCTCCTTCCCTCTAAACTACAACTGTCTGTTTCCAGCTTAGCTACTAGCTGCCAGTCCACTTGGAACCTCATCTTATGAAGTTATCAAGGTAATACCAACAGCATGCCAGAGAATTCCAGGGGAAATATAGTGCATTGCGCATGGGACTTGCAGGTGAATGAAGAGAATTCAAGATCCAGAACTCACTCAGCCATTGACTAATTCTGTGGTCGGATCAGTTATCCAGTAACTGGCCCGACCACAGTTCAGAGCATTAAAGAAGTTGTGAGACAAAGAGAGAGGGCTGCTGCCTCTCCCTTCCTACACTCCCTGGGCCTACCTTTTATGCTTGGGCCAGTGAAAGTGTTTCTTCTCATGTGGTACTGATAGCCCAGATCAGAGCACTGCTGGATCCACACAGAAGGCCAGCTTCTTTAATGCTCTAATGTATCAATTTTGGTTTCTTTTGTGAAGTGGGGTAATAGCCCTGAACTTTTCAGTTGTTGGGAGGATTTAAAGCAGCGTCCGGCACAGAGTTGGAGCTCATTACATGTGACCTGAGTGACCTACTATGTATGTTTGTAAAGCATTGTAACTCACAGAGAGTTTTCCTATATTTTCAGTCATTTAAATCTCACGAATTTCAGAGTAGATCCTAGCCTTCCCATTTTCCAGATGAAGAAACGGAGGTTACCCACAGGATGAAAAACCGAGCTCCATCCCAAGTCCCAGTTTTTTCACAATGCTGCTCTCAGCACAAGAAAGCAAGATAGGCAGTCAGATGTGCAATGACTAAGCTACCCTTGAGCTGGCCACATCTCTTTTATGGTAATCACATACAACGTTTCACTCAGGGATTTGTGTACAAAATGTCCAGGAGGATGAATTTAATCAATGTATAAAGAAATTAATGAATGGGTAAATGAATGAATGAGTAGCCTGTCTTAATTCTACTCTATCCATGACTCACAACTGAAGCTTGGGAATCTCATCCAGCCTAAGTACAGGGCCTCCTGGTACATGTTTCCCTCCCTTTAGAATGCCTACATCACAAGCCCAGTGATGGGTGCTGCTCATGCACACCAGCAGCCCCTCCTCTGACAGGAAGAAAAGCAGAGGACAGCCCTGCCCGTTCTACGTACTGGTTTCTGCAGTCTCATATTCGCTGTCTCTGAGAAGTTCAAAGATGTCCACTTCAACCTTGGCCTTGCCCAGCCTCTCAGGAGCACGGTTGATGCGGTTCTTGGCCAGGGTGATGGAGAGCCGTTCCCCTCTGCTGCACTCCATGGGGTCATCCAAGATAGCAGCTGTGGGCAGGCAACCACATGGTAACAGTTGGTACCCCCTACTGTTACTCCTCCTCTTGTCCAGTCTCCCACAACAGCCACCTTTTTTCAGGAAGCTCCCGCATCACCCTCCCCTGCACCCCACCACCCTCAGAACTGTCCCCAAAGTAAGTCCTGAGGGTCTTGGTTTGCAGCCAGGTGTAGCAATGAATTCTAATGTGGGTCCACCTCAGGAGCTTTCTCATGTCACTGCAGGCCACTGAGACTGTATTAGGTCCGTAGGCCCAAGCATGGTGACACCCTGTGCTATACAGGTACATGTGTGTAAAGGAAGGGGGACAGTAACTGTCCTCCAGAAATGCTATTTTTGGCATATGAGAAACTCTCCCTGAGGTGAAAGATGGTTAAAAGAGGCCAGGTTGAGAGCTGTGATGTAAATGAACAGCTACAAGATGCTGCTGGATGCTGGCTCCCCAGGCTCTGACTCTGACGAGCCAGCTTACCCAGGCAGCTATGTTGTCTCTCTAAACTTGTCCCCACTGGATATTAGGCTGGTGTGAAGATTCAAAAAGATAATACAAGGAAGTGGCACATTGTATAAATTTAATCTGTGTGACTTAATCAATGTGAATGGTGTTTACTTAGTGGAGTAGTGTGGTATCAATAGCTGCCAAACTTCTATAAGTGGTATTAAAGACCAGTGTTATAGCATCATAGGGACTGAGTTCAAGCCTCAGCTCCACCTTATATTGGCTATAGGACCTCAGTTTTCTCATTTGTAAAGTGGGGAGACAACCAATTCCTTGGGCTATTGTGAAGATTACATGAATAGAATGTGTAAAGTGCTCAGCACAGTACCTGGTGCACAGTAAACTCTCAATAAATATAACTATTAATATTATTTATTCTCTTGATAGAAGTTAAAATTTGACAATCTCTACACAAAAATTTTTACATAAATGATCATAGCAGCATTATTCATAATAGGCAAAAAGTGGAGAAGCCCAAACACCCGTCAACTGGAGAGCTGATAAACACAATGTGGCATAGCCATACAAGGGAGTAGCAGTTGACAATAAAAAGAAATGAAATACTAATACATGCCACAACCCAGATGAGCCTTAAAAACATTATGCTAAGTGAAAAAGTCAGCCAGAAAAGACCACATGTCATCATTCCACTTACATGAACTGTCCAGAATAAGCAAATCCATAGATACAGAAGGCAGATCAGTGGTTGCCTACTGGCAGTAGGAGTTGGCTGGGGGATTGAAACTGGGAAGAAATGGAGAGTGGCTGCTAGTGCATGTGATATTTCTTTTGGAGATATAAAGATGTTTTAGAATCGATTGTAGTGAGGGATGCACAACTCTGAACACATTAAAAACCACTTATTTATATACTTAAATAATCAATTATGTGGTATAAGAACTATATCTTAGTAAGGCTGTTACAGAAGATAAAAGAAATATCAAGCTTATCTTTCAGAAGTTGAAGACTCAGAAAAGCAATATGGGAATCAAGGCAAATGGATTTCACTGGCACGTGGCCCTTGAATCTCTGCAGCTGGTGAGGACAGAAGGACTCGGGTTCCACATGGTCTTTTCTATATATTGCTCCCATAGCTATTGTGACCCATTTTCCAAACCCCAAACCAGGACAGAAAATATTACAAGGCATTTTTTCTGATTTGTATATTTATTTACATGTATAGTCTTATCAAACAATACAGATTAGATTTCATTCATAGAGGTTGGCCATATATTGAACAACAGAGGTGCATCCCAAGACCTAGGTAATAAAGTGGGCTTCTGTGAATTAAATAGCAAAGTTCATGCCTACCTGATGGGATTAACCACTTGCAGAGTGGCCACCTGCAGACTATAAATGTATCTAAGACTGAAGAGGCTGGATCCACTTAAAACTCCCACCTTAGAAAAGCAAGACCTTAGAAAAGCAAGACCACAATGAGATTGTTACTTAGGTAGCAGAAAGTTAAACAATTATAGTGTGTTGTCCTAGGAGGAAGACTTTGGGAAAAGAAAGAGTAGGGGCAGCCTAGAGGAATGATTCTCACATGGGCATCTTCAAGAAGCAAAGGGGGAGGGTGCAGAGGGGTCCCTAGCCCTATGCCAGCTTCAACCAACACAGCTGCACACCCACCAGTATTAGGTGTCAGGATTCCACATCAGACCTTATGTGAAAGAGAATGTTCCACTGTTAAAAATGTGATGGAAACCATTAACCTAGCCCTAGAGCATAGAAAAGAGACACCTAAAATGTCAGGAATCGCCTATGTTCCCTTTGCTGTACTTTACATCCCCATGACTATTTTTATAACAGGCATTTGTGTTCTTTAATCCCTCTCAGCATTTTCACAGGTCCCTCAGCCCCTGCCCATCTAGCAATGATCAGTTTCTTCTCTCCTGAGGATATGTTTACTGATGAATGAGAGAGAGAGAGCGAGAGGGAGAGAGAGGGAGAGGGAGAGAAGGAGAGAGAGAGAGGGAGAGAGAGGGAGAGAGAGAGAGAGAGAGGGAGAGAACATCAATCAGTTGCTTTCCATTGACTGGTGCCAAGACTGGGCATGGAATCTAAAACCTTTTGGTGTATAGAACAACCCTCCAACTAACTGAGCTACCCAGCCAGAACTATTTCTGTTTGTTTTTGTTTATTTTATTTTGTATTTTTAGATTCCACTATAAAAGTGAAATCATATAGTATTTGTCTTTGACTTATTTCATTTAGCATAACACCCTCTATATCCATCCATGTTGTAACAATGGTAAGATTTCATTCTTTTTAATAGTTGAATAATATTCCATTGTGTATATGTACTACTTCTTTATCCATTCATCTATCAATGGAGATTTAGGTTGCTTCCATATCTTAGCTATTGTAAATAATGCTGCAATGAACATAGGGGTACATATATCTTTGCAAATTAGTGTTTTGAATTTCTTTGGATAAATATTCAGAAGTGGAAAATAGTAGTTCTATTTTTAATGTTTTGAGGAACCTCATGTTTTTCCACAGTGGCTGCACCAATTTACAATCTCACCACCATTGCATGAGGGTTCCCTCCATGACACTTGTTTGATGCTTTATTGATGATGGTCATTCTGACAGGTGTGAAGTGATATTTCATTGTGGTTTTAGTAAATAATACTGTAATAAACATATAGGATGTCAGAAATGTGCTGGACTTAATAAGGTATATAAATATCTAATAACTGTGTTGTACACCTGAAACTTTTACATATATATATATATATATATATATATATATATATCCAAAAGGTATCCAGCAATGTAATATGAAAAAGAGAGGCATTTATTGAAAAAAGGTACAAGATACAAGATACACTGTTCATAGGACAATGACACCTCAGTCCCCTTCAAAGTAGGTACCTTGGGATCTCACACAGTTCTCCCAATTGCCATCTGCTGCCCTGTCATATTTTCCTGAATCTCATCAACAGTCTGAAATCTCTTCCCTTTCAAAGGTGATTTTAGTTTTGGGAAAAGGCAGAAGTTGCAGGGCACCAAATCTGGGCTGTAGCTGTAGTGGGACTGAGTCATCTCGATGATTTGAGGTTTTTCAAAAAAAAGCTCTGCATGAGCCATGATCCATGAGTGGGTGTATTGTCATGATGAAGCTGCCAATTACCAGTTGCCCATAGCTGCAGCTTTTAAATCATCCAAATAGTGTCTGCCAAGGAATGCTCGAGCTTAATGCAAAGTGTGATGCAGATTCGTTGCTTTACTTGCTTACTCATTTTGAATGCCATGGCCACACAGTATATGTGCTCACTCAACAGCATATATATATACATATATGTGTGTGCATACATAAATTCAATTTATAATTGAAAAATAAATTTAAACATTAAAATACACTGTCAGGCATTGGCAGAGTCATCCCACACAAGTCCAGGAAGAAGGCAGGGGACTCGGGGTCCACAGTCATTAGGGTAAGTGGTACTCATTTATTTAGTGGCCATGATCTCATTGGTGCAGGTGCCTCATGAACATGACCTCACATAGTCTCCGCAAAAGTTCTTTGAGATGTGCCATCTGTGTCACCTTCACTTGGAGTTGAGAAAGTGGATGTCAGAGAGGTTAAGCTACCTGCCCACATTCACAGGATTGGTAGGTGATGGAGGAAGGAGGTGATCCCAAGCCACAGATTCTGCCCTCTTAGGCATAGCTCATCTTCCTTCCCAGGCATCTGCTGCTGAGAAGGGCATGCACTAGGTAGGAGTGTCTTAGTCAGCTCTGCTACTACAAGGTATCATAGACTGGGTACCTTAAACAACATGCATTTATTTCCCATAGTTGTGGAGTCTGAGATCAGGGTGCTGGCACCGTCGGGTTCCAGTGAGGGCTTCCTTCCAGGTCTACGGATAGCTGCCTTCTTACTTTGTCTTCACAAAGTAGAGAGAGAAGGAGAACACGCTCTCTATTTACTTTTAAAAGGGACTGACCCCATCATGGGGCCTCACCTTTATGACTTCATTGGAAATTAATCACCTCCCAAAGGCCATACTTCCTAATACCACCACATCAGTGATTTGAGTTTCAACATATGACTTCTGGGGACACAAACTTTCAGCCCACAGCAGTAAGACACATGAAATCCAAAACCCCAACTGGCTGGACCCTGGGCCTCTGGACACTTCCTGGGGTAATGGTCCAACTCCCATGAGATTTTAAAACTAGAGGCAGCTATCTATTTCTATGGGCCATGTCACCTCACTATTGCCACATTTTCCATCTACAAGCTATTAAATATTTAATGAGTCACTTATAACAAAACAACGTAATAAAATAATGTCTGAGAAAATTCCCAAGTCCCTGGTAAATCTGGGAACTTGGGCTCCTGTGGTGGGAGACGATTGACTTCAGTGATATTTGGATCAGATTGCTCCTGCTGGAGCACCACACTGGACTTGGCTCTGCCCTTTCCTCACACATGGAGCACAAGGGCACCTATACCATATCAGTGCTGTCTGTTGCCTC